GAAACATGCCCAGCTCCTTAAGCCGCTCCTCATAGGGCTTGTTCTCCAGACCCTTGATCATTTGAGTCGCCCTCCTCTGGACACATTCCAGCTTGTCAATATCTCTCTTGAATTGTGGTGCCCTGAATTGGACACAAGTTGTATAGATGCAGGCTGGAAATAAACATTATTGGTGTGAAAACCATTTTAAGGATGAATGACTTGCAATTGCATTTCTAGCAGAAGTTGGGCAACCGTGTTTCAGCAATGCATTAGCCTTTCTACATTGAGGAGAAGCTTAGCTCCGATAGCTCTGGAATGAATCTAGTTTTGGGAATCTCTGAAAGTTACACAGATGCATTGTTGTAGGTTTTTTGGGGCTATATGGCCATGTTCTAGAGGCATTCTCTCCTGACATTTTGCCTGCATCTATGGCAAGCATCCTCACTACCTCTGAGGATGCTTGCCATAGATGCAGGTGAAACATCAGGAGAGAATGCCTCTAGAACATGGCCATATAGCCCCAAAAAACCTACAACAACTGACAGATGCATTTCTTAAGCATAATCTTTGGGGGAGAGAGTGGGCCATAAATAAAGTATTATTATTATTGTTATTATTATTTCTAGAATTTTGCAGAGTACCCAAGCTCACGTTGCAAGTTGTGAAGGGAGCAACATGCAAAGAGTTGTGCTGGTTTTTCCTCCTTGTTTTGTGCGTAGAGAGAAACAGCACGAGAAGAGCCAATGTGGTCTACTAACTGGAGCATTGGACTATGAATCTGGAGATTCATAGTCCAATGAATCTCCACTCAGGCATGAAAGCCACTGGGGGACCTTGGGTGAGCCACACTCTCTCGGCCCCAGAAAATCCTATAGAATCATAGAATCCTAGATTTGGAAGAGACCTCATGGGCCATCCTGACCAACCCTATTCTGCCAAGAAGCAGGGCAATCACATTGAAAGCACCCCCGACAGATGGCCATCCAGCCTCTGCTTAAAAGCCTCCAAAGAAGGAGCCTCCACCACACTCCGGGGCAGAGAGTCCCACTGCTGAACAGCTTTCACAGTCAGGAAGTTCTTCCTAGTGTTCAGGTGGAATTTCCTTTCCTCAAACTACAAGAAAGGAGATTCCACCTGAACATTAGTAAGAAAGATATCTTTTCTGCTTTGGTTAGACCACATCTGGAATATTGTGTCCAATTCTGGGCACCACAATTCAAGAGAGATATTGACAAGCTGGAATGTGTAAAGAGGAGGGCGACTAAAATGATCAAGGGTCTGGAGAACAAGCCCTATGAGGAGCGGCTTAAGGAGCTGGGCATGTTTAGCCTGAAGAAGAGAAGGCTGAGAGGGGATATGATAACCATGTATAAATATGTGAGAGGAAGCCACAGGGAGGAGGGAGCAAGCTTGTTTTCTGCTTCCCTGGAGACTAGGACACGGAACAATGGCTTCAAACTACAAGAAAGGAGATTCCATCTGAACATGAGGAAGAACTTCCTGACTGTGAGAGCCGTTCAGCAGTGGAACTCTCTGCCCCGGAGTGTGGTGGAGGCTCCTTCTTTGGAAGCTTTGAAACAGAGGCTGGATGGCCATCTGTCAGGGGTGATTTGCAATATTCCTGCTTCTTGACAGAATGGGGTTGGACTGGATGGCCCATGAGGTCTCTTCCAACTCTTTGATTCTATGATTCTATGTTTTGCTGTCCATGTTCTGGAGAATTGGGCTGAAGAACGTAAACCACATTGGCATTTAGTCCCTGGAAACCTCAGTGATAAGTTGCCTTGGGGTCACCATCACTTAGAAATGACTTGAAGGCATTCAACAATAATAGTGTGTGTGAGAGTCTAGCTGGAGGGTAACTTCAGAATAAAGACTGGGCCAATATTCTGCCTCACAGATGTAATTATGGATGCCTAATTGTGTCAACTTGAAAACAGTCCCTGTGAAAGGAATGGCTAAAAAAGTGGTGGCTGCATCAGTAGGAATCTAGATGGGAAAAAGTCATGGTTCCACTCTATACATCTTTGGTCGGAGCTCACCTGCAATAACCTGTGTCCGGTTCTAGGTTCCACAAGTCAAAACATGCAGGGACATATCCAGAAAGGGTGACCAAAATTGGTCAAAGGTCTGGAAGCCATTAATCCCTCTGAGAAGCAGCTTCAGGAGCTATACTCTCTCAGCCCCAGAAAACCCTATGATAGGTTCAATATAAGTAGAAAATCACAGTCTCTGAGAACGGCAATGGTAAGCCTCTTCTAAACAAATCTTGCCAAGAAAACCCTGTGATAAGTTTGCCTTCGGGTTGTCATCGGTTAGAAATGACTTGAAGGCATTCAACAATAATAGTGTACGTGTGAGTCTATCTGGAGGTTGGGTAACTTTGGAAAAAAAACTGGGCCAATATTCTGTCCACAGGTGTACCTTATGGATGCCCATTTATGTCAACTTGAAACCAGGTCTGTGAAAAGGAAAAGTCTTAGTAGACCACAAGTTGAACATGAGTCAAGATAGTGATGCGGTGGCTAAAAAAGCCAATGCGATCCTAGCCTATCTCAGTAGGAGTCTAGATGAGTAAAAGTCATAGTCCAACTCTATACATCTTTGGTCAGAGCTCACCTGCAATCACCTGTGCCTGGTTCTAGGTTCCACAATTCAAAACATGCAGGGACATATCCAGAAAGGGTAACCCAAAAGGTCAAAGGTCCGGAATCCATGAATCCCTCTGAGGAGCAGCTTCAGGAGCTGGGTTTGTTGAGCTTGGAGAAGAGAAGGCTGAGAGAAGGGGACTTGACAGCCATGTCTCAATATTAGTAAGGCTCTCCCATTGAGGAGGGGGCAAGATTGTTTTCTGCTTCTTGAGAGACTGGGACACATGCTGATTGGGAATGGGGTAGTCTCTTTCTCTGGAGGCGTTTAAACAGAGGCTGGATGTCCATTTGCTAGGACAGCTTGGATTGAGAATTCCTGCATGGAAGAAGGAGGTTGGACTGGATGGCCTCTTGGGGTCCCTTCCAACTATATGTTTTTATGGATATCTTAATCAGTGACATAGACATAACATAAAGGGCATTGCGGATAACACCAAATTAAGAAGGTTGATAATATTCCAGAGGGACAGATCAGAATCCAACATGATCTTCAGAGATTAGGGAGCTGGGCCAAAAATAACAAAATAAAGATCAACACTTAGTTACAAAAACATGAAATGCACAGATAAAAGACCGGTGACACCTGGCTTGATAGCTATACATGTGAAAGGGATTAAGGAGTCTTAATGGACCACAGGCTGAGCATGAGCCAACAGTGGGATGTGGCAGCAAAAAAGGCCAATGTGATCCTAGGCTGAATCCATAGGAACATAGTGTCAGTACTGAGGGAAGTAGAAGTCCCACTCTATTCTGCTTTGGTCATGTCTTACCTGGAATAAGGCTGTGTCCCATTCTGGGCAAAACAATCCAAGAGTGATATTGATCAGCTGGAAAGGCAACCAAAGTTTGGGAGCCACAAATCCCTGGAGGGCCTAGTTGAGATACCTGTAAGCCAACAGGTAGAGTGGAGGCACACATACTCCATTCCCACCCCTGTTCTAGGCCGATATCGTCAAATGGCATGAGGAACAGACTTCCTTCATATTAAAGATGTCCATCCCTATTTCTAGTTTAGAGAGCTGGAGGTATTTTTCCAGTGATGTCTCCTTCCTTCTCTGTAGGTTTTGAAGCAGAGGCTGGATGGCTATCTGTTGGTAGAGCTTGGATTGTGTCTTCCACCTGGCAGAAGGGGCTTGGACTGGATGGCCCTTGGGGTCTCTTCCAACTCTAGGTTTCTATGAAGGTTCTATGAAGGAGACAACCATGTGAATCAATTAATTGCATCTATATTGGGAGGTTTCTTCCAATGTCCCATTACAACTCCATCCCCAATGTAAACAATGTAAACAAACCCATGTCTTTTCTCTCCTTCAGGCTAAATCCATCCTTTCAGATCATTCTCTGTTGGGCCCCATTGCTTGCCTGGGCTGGAGAGGCACCACAATGAGGCTGGACTTGGAGCAGGCATGGATAGGCTTCCTTCTGCTGCTGGCCTGCAGCTGGGTCATCCTCTGTGAAAAAACCCATGAGACTGTTTGTGTGAGGGTCAATGTAAACACTGTACAAACTGGTAAGGGAAACGTCAATTCCTGGTGTATGTTTAGCGCTTTTGACATTGGTCAGGGTCAACCACTCTCTGAAATGACTGTATTCATTAATTAATGCTATATTAGCAAAGGGTGGTTTTACACTATAGAACTTGGGGTGCATCTGCACTGTACAATTAATGCAGTTTGACACTAATTTTGATGAAGGCAAGATGAAAATACATACTACACATATTGGAAAATATATATTGGATGTAACCATATTAGAAATGGGAGTTAGAAAATATATGAAATCACAAAGAGAAATGTATGTATGCCTGGACTTCACTTGGAAGATATTCTCTTCTTAAAAAGCTGCAAAATTAGATGCTTCAAGAGAGGCCAGGGTCTAGGAAAGGAATGTCAAGAGGCCTCTGGCAAATTTCAAGAGACTCTTTCCATTTTGGTACCAGGCGAAGCTTATCGTAAGATTAGTGAGCTGGCCATCAAGAGGCTTCAGAAGAACTTATCTCAAGATAGATGGAAGCTCTTGCTATCAGTAGCTTATTAATAGCAGCTCCTTA